CCTACCCACCCCGCCACTCCAAGCACCTACTGACCCAACGACTCCAAGCACATACCGACCGAGCGACTCAAGCACCTACCGACCGACCTACTCCAAGCACCTACGGACCGAGCCACTGCACGTACATATGGATGGAGCCACTCCAAGCACATACACCCAAAGCCACTTCAAGCAAGTACACCCCGAGCCACTCTAAGCACGTACACACCGGGCCACTCCAAGCACCTATGCACCGATCCACTCGACACACCTGCCGACCGAGCCACTTCAAGCACATACACCCGAAGCCACTTCAAGAACCTACGCACCGATCCACTCCAAGCACATACCATCAAGCACATACACACCAAGCCACTCCAAGAACCTACGCACCCATCCAATCCTAGCACCTACCTACGGAGCCACTCCAAGCACCTACCGATCGAGACAATCCAGGCACCTACCGACAAAGCCAGTCCAACAACCTCTACCCACCAAGCCACTCCAAGCAACTTCCGACTGAGCCACTCCAAACACCTTCCAACCGAGCCACTCCAAGCACCACCGACCGAGCCACTCCAAGCACATACCCTTCCAGCCACTCCAAACACATACCGACTGATCCACTCCAAGCACCTATTGGTCGGATCAGTCCAAGCACCTACCGACTCAGCCATGTCCGACACCTTAAGCCACTGCATGCATCGATCGACCGAGCCAATCCAAGCACCTTCACCCCAAGCCACTCCAAGCACCTTCCCACTGTGGCACTCCAAGCACCTACGGACAAAGCTAATCCAACCACCTAACCGTCGAGTGACTCCAAACACATACCAACTGAACCACTCCACGCACCTATCGACCGAGCCACTCCAAGCACCTACCGACCGACCCACGTCAAGCACCTTAAGCCACTCCAGGCACCTATCGACCAAACCAATCCGAGCACCTAAACCCCAAGCCACTCCAAGCACCTACACCCCAAGCCACTCCAAGCACCTACACCCCGAGCCACTCCAAGCAGCTACACACCATGCCACTCCAAGCACCTACACTAAAAGCAACTCCAAGCACCTACCGACCGAGCCACTCCAAGCACCTAATGATTGAGCCACTCCAGGCGCCTACCGACGAAGCCACTCCAGCAACCTGTACCCAACAAGCCACTCCAATCACCTACCCGTCGCGCCACTCCAACTCAACCACTCAAAGCACCTATCGACCGAGCCACTGCAAGCACCTACCGGCTGAGCCACGTCAAGCACCTTAGGCCACTCCAAGCACCTATCGACCGAGCCACTCCAAGCACCT